TTTATATTTTTAACACCTGATGTTCATTCACGTTTATTTCATGCTATAACTATTAATTGTTTCATATTATTCATAATTTTTTATTATGAACAGTAGAATTTCATAAAATTGAATGTTTCATAACAGAAGTACCAAAGCTCAAAGCTTATTGCGATTTATTGGATGGGAGGCTTGACAAAGTTTTGATCATTCATCAACTGAAAACAGCATAGACTAAATTATCGATTCTTGGCATTATGAAATGATATCTATTTTAGTAAAACGAGAATGGTTTCAAATCAAGAAAGACACTTTAACCTAGCCCTAATGTAACAATATCTGTCTGTCTGCAGGACCAGTACACTCAAAAAAATGATATGTTGGCTTTACTTAACTTTTTTATGTAAACAGGTTCCACCGGTTCGACATAACTATGTTTCGTTAAACAAACATAATATGGTCATGTAACTTCAACATCATAGAATTTGGTCATTTTAAGCGACCCAATTAAACTCTGAGCTAAAGAGTTAATTAAGTGAATAATTGAGTGATGATTGAGCATTATTGAAGACACCTGATGTTAACAAGCAGAATCTCTGAAGAAGAAAACCAGAATGTTTAAGTCACCATTATGGAGATAAGTGTGTGTTTTAGTTGGGCTCTTGACCATTAACTTATTAACTTTAGATTTTGTTTGGTTGCTGTACATGAGTTATAACAGCCGGATGAACAATGAACTAAGGAGATCTGATGGTGTTGGTTGTGATTTAACATAATCATTATTTCACAATCATTTGACCTCAATCGCTGAACTTATATTGAACCCAATTTCTGAGTTAAGTTTACCTTACTGTCATTGTAGAGCATACTATTTTTAGCCTTTTCAATGACATTCAAATGATCAAATCAAGAAATAAAAAATAAACTTAAAAAAAAATATCTTGAGTAGGCACACACAGACATCAAGAATCAGCATATGAATCTCAGCAATGGTGACAAACAGATCATAAGCTCATTATTTATTCATGCAGCAATGCATGATGGGAGCCATGAATGAGTTTTGATTGGTGGCACCCAGAATGCACTGGAACATGCTTTATAATTGTCACCATTGTTGAGATTCACAGGCTGATTCTTGATGTCTGTGTGTGCCTACTCAAAACATTTTTGAACCTCACGTCTTCCCAAACCTGATTGACTTCAGTCTTGAGAATTCTTAAACGCCTCTGATTGGCCATTGTGTTCACGTGCTCAACATACAGTATGTCTCTGATTGGCCATTGCATTATTTGTTGTTGTAAAAAAAGTTTTTTTTTGTATTCTGATATGTGTTTCATCTTATATTCCAAAGGCTACCTGAGCCCATACATTTGGATTGAGTTATATGTCAGCTTTTTATTTTTCATTTAGGACTAGTCTTTTATAATAAATGTTGTTAATAATAAATGCCTTTACAACATGTTTAGTTCATACTTAAAGAGATAGTTTACCCAAAAATTTGAATTAGCCTATGATTTACTCATCCTCAAGTCACGGTGTACAGGTCCTTCTAAAAAAATTAGCATATTGTGATAAAGTTAATTATTTTCCATAATGTAATGATAAAAATTAAACTTTCATATATTTTAGATTCATTGCACACCAACTTAAATATTTCAGGTCTTTTATTGTTTTAATACTGATGATTTTGGCATACAGCTCATGAAAACCCAAAATTCCTGCCTAAAAAAATTAGCATATTTCATCTGACCAATAAAAGAAGTGTTTTTAATACAAAAAAAAGTCAACCTTCAAATAATTATGTTCAGTTATGCACTCAATAGTCAATACTTGGTCGGAATCCTTTTGCAGAAATGACTGCTTCAATACGGCGTGGCATGGAGGCAATCAGCCTGTGGCACTGCTGAGGTGTTATGGAGGCCCAGGATGCTTCGATAGCGGCCTTAAGCTCATCCAGAGTGTTAGGTCTTGCGTCTCTCAACTTTCTCTTCACAATATCCCACAGATTCTCTATGGGGTTCAGGTCAGGAGAGCTGGCAGGCCAATTGAGCTTAGTAATACCATGGTCAGTAAACCATTTACCAGTGGTTTTGGCACTGTGAGCAGGTGCCAGGTCGTGCTGAAAAATGAAATCTTCATCTCCATAAAGCTTTTCAGCAGATGGAAGCATGAAGTGCTCCAAAATCTCCTGATAGTTAGCTGCATTGACCCTGCCCTTGATAAAACACAGTGGACCAACACCAGCAGCTGACATGGCACCCCAGACCATCACTGACTGTGGGTACTTGACACTGGACTTCAGGCATTTTGGCATTTCCTTCTCCCCAGTCTTCCTCCAGACTCTGGCACCTTGATTTCCGAATTACATGCAAAACTGAGCAACAGTCCAGTGCTGCTTCTCTGTAGCCCAGGTCAGGCGCTTCTGCCGCTGTTTCTGGTTCAAAAGTGGCTTGACCTGGGGAATGCGGCACCTGTAGCCCATTTCCTGCACACGCCTGTGCACGGTGGCTCTGGATGTTTCTACTCCAGACTCAGTCCACTGCTTCCGCAGGTCCCCCAAGGTCTGGAATCGGTCCTTCTCCACAATCTTCCTCAGGGTCCGGTCACCTCTTCTCGTTGTGCAGCGTTTTTTGCCACACTTTTTCCTTCCCACAGACTTCCCACTGAGGTGCCTTGATACAGCACTCTGGGAACAGCCTATTTGTTCAGAAATTTCTTTCTGTCTTACCCTCTTGCTTGAGGGTGTCAATGATGGCCTTCTGGACAGCAGTCAGGTCGGCAGTCTTACCCATGATTGCGGTTTTGAGTAATGAAACAGGCTGGGAGTTTTTAAAAGCCTCAGGAATCTTTTGCAGGTGTTTAGAGTTAATTAGTTGATTCAGATGATTAGGTTAATAGCTCGTTTAGAGACCCTTTTCATGATATGCTAATTTTTTGAGACAGGAATTTTGGGTTTTCATGAGCTATATGCCAAAATCATCAGTATTAAAACAATAAAAGACCTGAAATATTTCAGTTGGTGTGCAATGAATCTAAAATATATGAAAGTTTATTTTTTATCATTACATTATGGAAAATAATGAACTTTATCACAATATGCTAATTTTTTGAGAAGAACCTGTATATGACATTCGTCTTTCAGACGAATACAATCAGAGTTATATTAAAAAGTGTCCTGGCTCTTCCAAGCTTTAATGGCAGTGAATGGCTGTTTCTGTTTTGAAGTGCATACACTGTTAGCCCTTACCAGGTTATTTTTTACAGTAAGGGTTAACAGTGTACACAGGCTTGTGCAAAATTCTGAATTTCAGAATTGGCCTCCATTCAATTCATGAATTGGAATTTGAATTGACTCTGCTCCACAGGAAGTTGATTTTGAATTTGAATTGGAATGGCAGGAAGTGGAATTAAATTCATGGCAATTCAAAGAAATTCCACACAGTCACACAACAGAAAGAATGCGTTGAATCTCACAAATATTCAGTGTTTGGAAATGTAATTGCTTACTGTTATAAGTTTCCCATTATAAATGTGGTTTGGATTACTTTATTTGGATTACTTTATCAATGCAAAGCAATTTCCTTTTAATTTGAGTAACTAATTGAATTACACATTTTACCTAATACAACTAAATACAATTACATTAATTTTGTAATTTAATAACATAATTTCGTTACACATAACTATTTACTCCTCAACCCTGCATTATTTTTGTTCTAAAATATAGATAATGATCAAATTCTTGAAATAAATTACCCCCTCAATGTTGTTTAATTAATTTTGTTCCAATGTTATTTTCATTTCAAAGTAATATGACACAAAGTCGTTGTAAATGCAGTTATCATTTTTTCCAATGCAAAACTCACTGAGCAACACTGTTGCATCTAATTCTCAATAGCTCCTCAAATTTCTGCCAATCACAGACAGGGGCGGGTGTTGTGAGGTTTTGAGCTCGTTCACGGCTGGACGCGAAGTCGGAGCAACACCCACCCCTGTCGGTGATTGGTTGAAACACTGTTTATTTTGGTTTTGAGTGGTGGTGTACCCACTGTTTCTGTGTGCAGATCTCAGAGCCTAGGCTGCCTACAGAGATGCGGTTTTTGGACGGCATGCTTATGGGGCGGGCAGCTAGCGGATCGTTAGGAAAAATTAGATGAATGTAATCATTTATGTTTCGGCCTTTTTTGGGCCTGAAATCACTGATGCAACCATTAAATGACAGACAGACTTCAGGAAATGTCCTTTAACCTCCTAAGACCCGAGGTTTGTGTCCACGTATGTGGACAACCAGGTCTGAGGAGGCTACATGCTCTTTATTACAGCTGGGAGTTCCCGAGCAGTTCTCAGAGAATCTCAACCAAAGAAGAAATACAAGAGGCTTTTATAGGATAAAGCCAGACACATCAAAATATAATCATCATGACTAATCATATAATTTTGACTAATCATGTCATGCTACCAAAATGATTGGTTACATTGTTTAAAATATCCTGTATCCTCAAAAAAAGGATTCTTTTCTCAATACAGTCAAAGAACAGAACGTTTGGTCCATTTTCAAAGTTCCACTGACCAAGGTTACATTGAGTCAAAAGTTTGTTAGATGGTTAGTTCATATCAAAAGTTCGTCCGATGGCTACATCCTAAATAAAAGGAAGTAAGATTTATTCTGTTTTATTGTTAGATCTACAATGGGAAGTTAGTTAGACAGAAAAATGGGAAGTATGATAGAAATCTATCACATGATAGAAATATAAAATCAGAACTTTATGGTTAGTTAACATAATCTTATCTATTATCATTTCTACGACAATTGCTTCAAACCAGCTTTACAGAGATAATAGGAAATTAACGGAACATAGATAGTTTTGGCTGTAAAAGTTTTTGTCCACCTACAGTAAGTTTTTTTTTATTTAATTTCCGTTGTAAAAATCATTAGTTAATAATAGGGGCCGCTTACACGACGCTGTTTTCAACTACAACTAGAAAAAATATGCAAACATGGGGGTTATTTGCTTAACAAGTCAGATGTCAGCACGATCAATGTTATTGGTACGTGGGGTGCTTATTTTGACTTTTGACTCAGCCACACATCCATTCCCCTCCCATGTCACAGTCCTTTCACTGTCAATCTCTCCCTGATTGGAACCGTTTTCTCTGAAGATCAATCCAGAGATGCTCTCAATATATTCAATTTCCACTATGTACTTTTCTAAATCATTTTCAGCTAATTCCTCATTGGGCACCTTATAGCATTTCAGCTCTACTGTATCATCCTTGTTCTCCAGAATTACCACCTTAAAGAAGTGAGTTGGCACTGCTTTATCTGTTATCATCCTATAACACACCTCATTTGAATCATCATTTCTTGGCAGGTAAAGTGGTCCAGTGTACACATGGACATTACGGATCTCACTTTTGCGTTCTAATATTTTTTCTCGACAATCTTCTTCCAGCTTACTCCAGATGGGTCCGTTTAAGCTCTCATGCTGTGGTGTCATGTTGCTGATCGAAAAAGTGTCCTCAAAGGCTTCCTGACACCACCTGTGATTGGCTGCCGCAGCAAGATGACCTCTGTCATAACCACCTATAAACTCCTTTCCGCTCTCTTTTGCTCGATAGAATGGATGAACTGAGTTATCCACTTCAAAGAATGGACGTTGCTTCTTTTTATATTCCTTGGATAATGTACTCGTGTTCAATATCTCATACACCCATGCAGCATTCCTGGTTCGGTTGTCGTATAACAAAGCATAAGATTTCTTTTGTATTATTTCAGCAAGATTAGGAGCTCTGTCTATTAATTTATAGATAGGTTTGCCATTTTTAACCGTTTCTGGGTTGTTGATGCATGTTGATGCATCTCCATTCATGACTGAAAGTGGGATCCGTATGTAGACGGTTTGAGGATTAGATTCGTTTGAACCTTCTTTGCAGCTTCCACCTTCTTGTGTTTGAAGACTCTTAGGAACTTCCTCCTTATCTCTTTTACTAGAATTTGAAAGTTGACTTTCTGATTCTTTGTTGGCTCTGTGATTTGTGCCTTTGCCTTTATTTCCACTGGAATCTGCTCGTGAATTAGCAATGGAATTTACTTCAGTAGGTAAAGGAGCTACGTCTGTGCTAGACTTTGTAGGCCGACTTTCTGATTCAACACCGGATTCTGCATTTTGCTTACACCCATCACAAACATATATTTTTATCACTTGCATTATTATCACACGAGACCAGTGTCGTCTTTTGCTTGATTTTATATCCATTCTTTGTGTTTTTCCCCAAGCTCGTTTGATATCATCAGCTGACCAGCAACAATGCTGTTTTTCAATGTCATATTCCTCTTGAATCTCTTTCTTAGCTTCATGTAAGCACTCAAACCCGGTAAAAAAACCCAACAAATTCTTAACTATGTGATTTAAAGTGACATCCGGTGGGTTTTTCCCCCCTTTCTCAAGAGTGGTTTTGCCATTTCCATCAGATGCAGGAGGATGCGATGGAAACCTCTTAAGATCAATACAACTCATCTTGATGCAACAGAGAGACTTAAGAGCAAAGTTAAGGAACAAATCAGCCTTGGCTCAAACTTGTATGCTATTGTTACTTATTCAGGGTCTTCAACAAGGATCTTCTCATCAGGTCTGGCTAAAATAATGTGTTAAAAAAAGGTGTCAAAATTCTCCTTAATTCAAAGACTTCAGTAGAGATGGACAGATATACTCACGTCAACAGGTTTGTGATCTGATAAACAGAAACTTCTGCTGCTCCGATTTTACATCAGTTCTGCACACAACATAGATTTTATAAAGTACTTTTATTATGTAGTAAAACAATTTGAAGACTTTTTTTTATAATTAAGAACACTGTTAGTAAAAAAAAAAAAAAAGGTATCAGACTCCTATAATATGCCCAACATTATTAGCATTTTTAAAAACTAAGGGATACATAATTGTAGAAATGAAATAACCTCCCGCTGAAACATCCACAGTAGAGTGACTTTACAACAGTGTGTAGACACACCTTCTCAGGGTGAAATGTAACGGTAGGGGGGAGTGTGGGAGAGGTTTTAGACCTAAATATCTTGTTGAGAGGCTTATAAAGAATTTTTGTGCCACATTTATTTTGAAATCGCAATGAAAATGAAAAATCGTCTTTTTTCCCCCCATGTTTTTTGTGTGTTTGTTAAGGCTGATTTATACTTCTGCGTCGGACCTACGCCGGAGCCTCTGCGATATACACTATGTGTTGGTATTCATTTATACTTCTGCGTCGTTGTCCGCGTTGACGCGCAATTATACATGCAGAGGGAGCATGTGAAATCCAAGGGAAGGGTTCTAGCCGACCAATCACAGCGCTTGCGTCCGCGTAGAATTGCCGCGTTGTTGCATTTTTGGAGAGGTGCACGTCAGGGTACGCGGAAGGGTACGCACGCTACACACAGCCTATGATGTAGCTACGGCGTGAGTTTGACGCAGAAGTATAAATTGGGCTTTAGAGGTTAAATTCAAACCAAATACTGCAATTCTGCCCATACTACTTCTGAATAGTAGGGCTGGGTAAAAATATCGGTTCATCAATGCATTGCAATTATTTGTTTTTCAATTCAATATCGATTCATCAAATCCTATGAATCGATTCAGCCCATTGGCCAGTGGCGGCGCTGTGGGCAACACTCTAGTGAGAGCGTTCAACGTTGTACAAGCAAGGGTGTAATCCATCAGCCGGAAGTTGAAGCCTCGCGGGAGCCGCCATTGTAGTAGAACTTCACCTGCTGTTAGCATTCCATTGACTCCCATTCATTTTGGCGTCACTTTGACAGCGAATAACTTTACATCTGAGGCGTCCAAAGACATAATTTGTCCATTATTTATTTCTAAAAAAACACGACAATGTATAAAAGGCTCCATTACTTTGTATCTTACGTTATGGCCCAGTAGAAGCCGTTTTTGTTAAAAACAGGCTAACGATTGCGTCATAACCACGCGACTTTATGTCACACAATAGAGGCATTACTGTATGGAGGAGAAGCTCGCAGGCAATCTTTTACTGTCTATGAGGCAATCGGGGGGACATAGAGGCATAAAGTCAAGGAAGAAGCCCATAGATACACTGTCAGAAATGGGGGTACAGTAGGAGTCCAGGGTCAAAAAGGTACATATATGTCCCCGAGCATTAAAAGGTACATATATATATATATATATATATATATATATATATAGTTTCTTTTAAAGGTTAAGGTACAATATCAAAAGACAGCCTCTGCTAAGTAAACATTTTTTTGTAAAAAAAAAATCGTTTAACCCCTTAACTGTCACCGTCCCGCTACCGGGACGCCTAACTTTACTTCACTATATTTCCATTAAATCCTAATCTAATTATGACAAATTATATATCGTTGGAAAGGTCTAAGACTTCTAAATAGATATTCTACCCCTGTTTTGTGTTACAAATTATGTAGGAAGAGTAATTGATGAATTTATGACAAGAGTGCACCTCAAAAAATCTGCATCATAACAGGAGGTCTGACCTTTGTCACAAAAAGTCGATGCACCCATATTTAATCATTGAAACTTATGTTTTTATGCTAAAAGTTCACAATAAAACATATAATCTAGTATTTTTCAATAAAAAATTGTAATATAATATTATCCTCTAAAAAATATAATATATATATTATCCTCTAAAATATAATATTATATTTTTTATCGCCTTTTTTATTATATCACATATTTTAGTAGTTATCATAAATTAGGTATCATTTGAAAGCTTATGAACTCAGAATTCCTCCTGTGAAAACCGTTTTATAATTGAACGTTGCGTTGCCATAGAAACGGTACTCTAAATTATTTTATCAGGCTCCTCCCCTTTTGGGCATCATCATATTTCATAATTTATGATCAAAACCTTTTCTAATCTTGACAAAACACATTGTCAGAAAGGTCTGTGTCTCAAGGTTCCATATTTTGTGACAGAATTGATATTTGGACAGAAATTTATTAATTTGTTAAGGCAGAATGTTTACAACTAAATTCAATGGAATTCAATGGCACCCGGTGGCTATTTTTGGTACTACGCCTAAACAAAATCTCATGGGAACTTCAATTTTTGTGATATCAACTTCAAATTTGGAACATAACTTGGTTAGATTTATGGCTTTGATTTTATAGTAATTTTATAGTAAAAAATATTTTGTAAAATATATATTTTATATAAAATAAAAAATATATAGTACAGTATATTTGATTTACTGTATTTTTAAACTTACATAACTTTTTCATACTTTCATTTTTTGAAGTGTTTTCACTTCAGCAATAATCTGCTGAGTGTTTTCTTTAAAACAAGACCAAACTTGGGTATATATTCCAAAGCATTCTTGAATTACAACCATTTAAGTTTGAATAGTGCATTTTAACCCCCATTCTCAAAAGGGGGGGTGACAGCTAAGGGGTTAAAAAAAAAAAAAAGGTTTTAAGGATACCTTCATCATTTAAGGTAGATTTGAACTTATCACTATATTTAAGTAGCCTTGAAATAAAGGAAATAAAAGTTTTCTAAGTCAATTTACTGATATTAAATCATTATAACACAGCAAAAACTCCAGTGTTAAATTAACTCTCCTGGGAGTTTATTTGGCTCTGCACTCAAGAGTGTTAAAGTGTTAAAATATGAATGTTAAATTAACAATTCAATAACGTCTCGAACGGCTACATAAGAAAACTGGCCTTACAATCCACTCCATGCTTTACACCGAACACACTCAGACGTATAGGGATGCCCTCGATGCTGCCCGCTCAAACTATTATTCATCACTCATAACCTCCTCTATGTCCAGGCCTAAAACCCTGTTCAGGACCTTGGACAAACTCATTAAACCCCCTGTCACTGCCTGTCCTAAGACCCCTGAGCAGTGCCAGGCCTTCTTACACTTCTTTGATGACAAAATTAGCCAAATCTACCAATGCTTCAACCCAAATGCTATCTCTCACTCTTCTCCTCCTTCCTCTCTGGGCCCTCAGCTTTCCCATTTCACTCCTATAGACTCCCTCACTGTCACTGACATTATAAATAAGTCTAACTCCACATCGTGTCAGCTTGACCCTGCCCCCACCCCTCTACTTAAAACTTGCATCACATCCTTATCTGAACCCATTGCATTTATTGTAAACACCTGCCTCAACTCTTGTGTTGTGCCTGCTGCCCTTAAGACTGCTGCAGTCACACCCATTCTCAAAAAAACGGACTGCGACCCCACATCACTATGTAACTACCGCCCTATCTCCAACCTCCCCTTCCTGGCCAAGGTATTGGAAAGAGTGGTGGCCTCACAACTACACACCTTTCTGAATCACCATGACCTGTATGAGCCTTTTCAATCTGGTTTCCGTTCTTGTCACAGTACAGAGACTGCCCTTCTGCGCATCGTTAACGACCTTCTACTGTCTGCTGACTCTGGTTCACTTAACATTCTCATACTCCTTGATCTTAGTGCTGCCTTCGATACCATCAACCACAATGTTCTAATCACCCGTCTGTCTGCTATTGGTGTTTCTGGTACAGCCCTCATTTGGTTCCAGTCTTACCTCTCCAACAGAAAGCAGTTTGTGACGCTTGGTCCTCATCAGTCTTCCAAGTCCCCTGTCACCCGTGGTGTCCCCCAGGGTTCGGTACTTGGGCCCCTCCTCTTTCTCATATACATCCTCCCTATTGGCCCGATCATACGCAGCCACGGTCTTAAATTCCACTGTTATGCAGATGACATCCAACTCTATTTGACCACTCACTCTCCAACTGATTCACCACCGTGCTCCCTCACTGACTGCCTCTCTGACCTAAAATTATGGATGCAAAACAATTTTCTTAAACTCAATACAGATAAAAC